TCCAGAGTGAGTACTCCTCTGATACCGTGGGTTGTATCACAACTGCTTTTTCAGTCATATGGCCACCCCTGTCAACCAATACAATCTGAAGTGTATGCATGCCTTGCATTCAAACTGTTCGTCACAGTGTTTAATATAGCAAGATTCTCACTGTATGCTGGTAGTTACTGAAAATGGTACTGGGAAAATGAATGGATTGCAGAAAAGGAGTTATAGGAGCACATTAGTTTTGTTTCCTGTCCAGTTTTCTGTGGTTTCCACATACCATAGTGTCTGCCCAGAACTCTGAGCTTTGAATTCAGGTGGAGGTGGAACTGGATGAGGACATGGGTTAACAAGGGAAGCACCACGAAGCCGTCATATGTAACTGATGCAGACACACGACTTCCAAAGAGTTAAACTTTTGCACCTGTTGTAGATAAATGGAAAGGATGTGACATTTCATGGAGACATGGCTGTAGAGACTGACTGTCATCAGCTAACATGTTTTGTGAGCATTAGTGCCTGGCGCTGACAAGACTATATGGCACTTTAAAATGCATTAATCAAAATGAGTTAACCGACAAGTCTTAAAAAAGCAAAACTGAAACACACACCCTATTAATATATCTCCCAGTTTTCATAGAACAGAATACTCCATCTGATGCTGAGGGAAAATTATTCTATGTTGATGATTTACTACTGATGAATATTTGAAAAAAGAAATATCAAAGCTTCTGTAAAAAAACATATTTTTCTCTGGGAATAGAGAATGCCAGTTTAATGTCATTTTGTGTATATAGACTGCATTTTGCTTAAATAAGCTGCTCACTTGCAATCTTTTCTCTCCTTCTTCCACAGCCTACCTATGTAATGAGCAATACAAAGATACATAATTTCCTTTATTTACTGTTGAAGGGATACTGCAAGCAAATAGTTAATTGGGAAAGAATGTAAAAGATGTGACCAATACTGTAACAAGTAAAAGGAATTTCAGATGCAGAATCTCATGAGGAAGAAGTTAAGCAGAAATCAGTTTTACTTGAATACGACAAAGGGATTAATTACAGTTGTTTGGATACTAATAATACAATGATTTATAAACAAAAAAAAATCTAAAAAAATTTGGCACAAAGAAGTTGGTAACTGAAGAGTGAAGAAACATCATGCAATTTCTAGGAATCCCCTTTGTCTCAGGGCAAGTTTAGCCAATTCATGAACAAGATGTTACTGATCCTATATGTTTGTATATTATTGTGTTACTCTTTTTTCTTTTTTTTTTTTTCTGAATTCTGACAATGTGTAGAGTAGCCTTCCCTGTGATTTGAATGATACTTATTATTACTGCCTGTCTACCTGCAACTTTTGGTATAATACTTTAGAGTTCCAAAGACGGGAACTTGTTCCTGTTTGTATAGAGCTTCATGGCAAACATCCTGGGTTTTACAGAGCAAGGTGTTCAACCACTGGCTGATGATTTCTCTGGCCTGTGATCAGGTGCTCTCCTTCCTAGAAGGCTGTTGGCATCAAAGGATGGGTTGGATGTGTTGCGTTGACAACACTCTCCTTCTTGTGGTCGTTTCTTTTCCAAGGGCTTTATGGTTACTCCTCATCTTTTGATGGGCTGTCATGTGGTAAAAGAATAGCTAAAAGAAGAGCAACTTTCCCAGGAAAGTTGACAACCAGGAGTGAATGAGGCTGCTACTGCTGGAACAATTCATCATGCTCCCTATCCAGATGCTCATGATTTGCTCCAGTGGTTGCAACCTTCAGCTTCTTCCTTCCCAGGAGATCCTCAGGTGCTGGTACACAGGCAGGACGTGTGTGCATCTGTCTGTGTGTATTGCAGTTGATCTATGGGTGTATAGTAGATCCAAGACTTTTAGTCTTGACTGTGTGTGGGCAGGTGGACGTACAGTGCTTTCACGATAGGTATGGGCATGATCCAGAAATGGAGTCACAGCATGTGCTCTTCTTCCAGCCTCTCACAACATAAGGGTCATCCACCCAGCTAGAAGTCTAGGGGACTTCTCATTTAGGGTTTCCTTTTCACTTTCATTAAAACAGAAAACGCGCCAGAACAATGAAGAGATCCTCAAATAAGGGAACATTAAAACTTTCAACATTAATTAAGCCCTCAGAAGATGGGATGAGACAATTAATTAATCATACATATGCAAATCTGCTCCCCATTGCACTGGAAATTTTTTTTTCTCTTAAATTATTGTATACTAATTGCTTAATATATTATAGTATTTTTTTTCCTTATCTGTTTAGATAATCGCTTTTCGCAACAGGTGATAGAAACTAAATAGGAATTTTTCACAGAACCTTCTACTCAGCATATCAGATAAGGTGGACAGGAAGGAAATCAAGTTAAATCTTGTGAAAAGTTACACAAGTTGTCCTTAATGGATGGTGACGATGTCACTGTGCTTATAGACTGGTCACGGTGTGGCCATGTAAGCACGTTTATTGTTGTCTGAGCCTGCTTGATATTTTCTTTTTATTGAAGAATAGGAAACAATTTGCTATTTAAAATGGTTTGGTAAAGGCCTACTAGGTCTGCATGAATAAAACCAACAACTGTCTTTCAACTCATACATAACCTTTATTTAACATATTTGATATTATTTTGAATAGATCCCCTCTGGTGGGGAACTTACTTGACATTTCATGAAAAAACAAAAATCTTGAGAAATCCTGCATATCCTGGGAGAACCTTCCCATGGAATTAGCAAAGGCACATGGTATTTCTGATGCTGTAGGAGGATCCATACAGACCAGGCTCTGAGGCTGTAGGGAGCCTTGCTCGTAAGAACCTAATCACACAAATTCTGCCCACAGACAATTTTTTTTAAAGCATTTTAGTTTTGAGCTATTGTCATTAAGATATGAGTGTCACCAACACTGACATTTATACTTGTTTGTGCTGGAGAGCTGTTGAACGCAGGAACATAATGCCCAGGGAACCATTGTGTGAAGCAATGGTTTACCTGCGTCACTAGATCTTTAAGTAAACCACAGCAGTACCTTAAAAACTTTTGGTTTCTCTTTGTCATCCAGAATAAATTGCATAAAATATGAATGCTCGCATTCATCATTGTTCTGCTGCTTTACAGTATTAAGATATTTTATATTGCATCATCGCTGATCATAATAGTAGCCACTGTGTGAGCTTGTGGACTCCAACGTTTTGCAGTCATCTTGATCCTGCAAAGAATTATGCATGCACATAGCTTTGTGCTGTTTGCATAATCTACTGAATGCGAATAGCACTATTTTCCATAAGAGGAAGAAGGGTGAAGAAGCATTAGTAGAGTACTAAACTAAGGTAAATAAGCACTTTGCAAGTGTTTCTAGGTAGTATCTCACAGTACAGTCATCTTCTTAAAAAGTAAAAATTATTCCAGAGGTTACCAGGACCTGACTTTTTTTTTTAATGTGCTGACCAATATTTTGCTGAGAGAATAGCCCACTGGATAACTGAGTTGTCTTATTTATTCGGTAGTATTTGGAACAGGACATACTGTCTTTATCTGTAACTGTTAGTAAAAGCTGGCTCCTTGGCGGCCATTGAAGGAAAGTGTGGTGGTATTACTGCCCTTTGCAGCCTGTTGGTATCAGTAGTTTTCCTTCAGCTTGAATAGATTTGATCAAGGGCTTGGCATGGAACTAGTAGAGCTCTGTGCACGGAAGTGCCTCAGCAGGTCACGTTTCTTCTTCAGCAGGTCACCTTCTGGGAAATGTGCCTGTGGTCACACAGGGAATGTGTTTGCCTCGCAGAGGCTGAGGGTGCTTTGCCCCAGCAGCAGCCAGAGCAGTCGCAGTTTGGGTAGCCTTGGCTTGCTGTGTGATTGTTATGACATGGCTCTAACATTGGTAAATAAGAATAAATGCCAGATGCATCAGATAAGTTAATTATGTCTAATAAGTTGTGTTGTATTTATTGTATGGTGAGAAAACAGAGTTGTTTATTTTTAAACTGTCTGCACCTTGTCACAAAAAAGCTTCAAATTACTTAGTTTTATATTTTTTTTAATTAGGCACTGAGTAACCTATTCAGTACTTTCTCATTCATCAAGCAAATTCTTCAGGAAAAGGCATCCTGTCAGGTGCAGCAGCCAAAGCTATGAGCAGTGTTGGTACTGTTAATGACTTGGAGAATGACTGCAAAGATTATGATATGACACATTATTGTCTGGCAGGCATTGATCATAATTATATCACTGATAAAGGCAAAACATATCAAATGTTGTGTTCTAAATATGCCCTTCAATAATAGAAAAAAATGCCATTGAAATAATTTCAGTGGTAGTTGTGTAATCCTGCTTGGGATAAAAGAAGTTATCACCCTAAGCCATTCACTTATTAAGTTTCATTTAATACTGATGGTATATCAGACATTATACATCTTTCACCATTTTGCTTTATGACATGGCAGACCTCTGACAACTATGCTCTGTGTAAAATGTAATTCCCTGGTTTACCTGTCTACTTGGATTGAGTTGCGGAATCTTAATTTGCTGTCGTGGTTTCCATGATCCTTTGCTCATGTCATATTGTTGTTACAATGAACACGTTGCACATACAGCATAGCCTTCATCTTCTTAAAGCAGAGAACAGACCTTGTTATCCTTGCAAAATGAATAATTAAAGTAGGATTTTAATATTTGTGTTTTGCTTTGGGTTTATTAGCTCTAACTGTGAAAACTAAATCAATTATTTTGTATGCTCCATCTCACTAGCTCTTGCAAAAATGGACCAGAGTTTTCCATAGATCTGTCCTGCGGCTTTAAGCTATCTCAAAATAGCACTGTTGGAGAAATGGGCTGTAGTCTGCTGACTGAACAGGTAGCATTTTTATCATTACCAGCTTGAGATCTGCATAAGGACCACAAGTGTGCTGCAAAACTGGGGAAGCTGATTGTAACTGGTAAGGTCCTATGGTGTAATGTAATTCTTGTGTTGTACCTGCCTTGCCTGAATTTGGTTTTTTGTTTTTTTGATTGCTTCTGTAGACTCCAGAGGAAGGAGCCTCTACAAGCATCTATGCAGCAGTATCGCCTGAGATGGAAGGAGCTGGTGGCTGCTACCTTTACAATGAGGAAAGGACAAAATCGGCTGACGTAGCATATGATGAGGAGCTGCAAAGAAGGCTCTGGACAGAAAGCTGCAAGATGGTTGGGATTTCTGATGAACCCAGCAGAGTTCCATAGAAGAAGCCACTTCCAGCTGGGTAAATGAAATGTTTTGACAAGCATCTTAGGTGAATTCTTGCAGCATCAGTCATCATCCTGGAAATCACTGTTCAGTCCCAAAGGCAAACGTGAACAGCTCTGTTCTTCACTTAAACCCCTAATCTGCTAGGGTGTGGGGGGAATATTCCCACAGAAAGATGTAGTGGTTGGTTTTAAATCTAACCATCAGTTTTGTAAATCATGATGTTTCAGTCTGTGATTAAAATACAATCTTTAACCTTGTGCAGAGTTGAGTTTTCATTTTTTGTTCAACAAAAAAAAAGACTTTCCCTGGTGAGCATGTTATGTCTGTGGCGTGCTGAACTTAAGCCACCTTTGTACATATAACTTACTCTTTTTAAATCAGTTTTAAAAGTTGCAGCTTTTTTTCTGTAAGCTTCATTAATCTTTAAGACACTTTATAGTGAATGTCATGTTGTTCTAATGCAGACATTTGGCATTCATGATCATTATGTTGTTTCTATCATAATGTTAGTTTTATATGTCAACTTTTATCCAGAGGTATTAACTGAAGCTCAGAACCAAAAAAAAGTAAATAAATAAGGTTTTCAGGCAGGATATTGAATACAGTTTTTTTCCATTCAAGTTCAGCTCTCCTTTAAAGGCGAGCCATAAGAACGAGGATGGGATCAAACATAGTAATGGTGACACGGGTTTTGGCAGAGTGTCCCCTTTACTCCTGAACCCGTGTAACCTTGCGCTACAACTTCTCCCATTTTCTTTGGCAAGGAGATTCACTCAGCTACTGCCCGTTGCATGAAGAATTGCCTCCTTTTGTTGGTTTTGAACCTACTTCATATAAGTTTAATGCATAATCCTATAAATGTCTTTGCATTTCCTTTTATAAGATATACACTGCGAAAGAGACCAGTAGGTGGACGTAAAGCTTATGTTCACTTTGGGGCACTAGAAATCCCTGCATGACAGAACTACCTGCAAACACAGTGTTGTGCTGTCATTTGCAGCAGACTAGAAACAAAATTAATGTGTTCTTGTGCACTGAACCCTGGACTAATATCCCTCTTGGGTTTTTTAGTTCAAGCCTGGTACTTCACTGACCACATCTCCAGCCTCTGGTTCAGAGAGAGATCACATCCAACTGAAAGAAAGCATACTAATAAGTCCAGAGACTAGCAAGGAGATGCAAAGACAAAAAAATAGTATGAACAAAGAAAAGCAGATGAGAACAAAAATAATTTTAAAAATCTGAAGGAGAACATATTTCCCCTCTGAATTAAGCCATGCATGGTTTATTCCTAGCTTCTTTAGTATATACAAGGGTTAGCAGCAGGAAATTCATCGCTCAGTCACAGTAGAGCTTTCGCTGTATGACTGGCTGACTTCTTCAGTGGTGGTTTTTTTTTGGTAAGTGAATGTAGTGCTTGTGAAATGTGCCAGACTGACACTCTGGGAACTAAATTCCTCTGTTTATTCACGGACCATGCACAGGATGCAGTAAGCCTGCTAGACAGACAACATTTTGATGTTGCCATAGCATTCCCACGGAACATCATTGCTGCTAGAAGTATGTCCAGGATTACTCAAACTGGATTGGACCAAATTACCATCAGGTTTAACTCTCTCGAAGCTCCACAGTATTTGCACAACCAGTTTCAAGTGTCACAGGGACTGGTAAAACAGCAAACAGTAAAGAGAGCTAGTCACACTTTCAGAGTAATCTGAACCACTTTGTTAGCGGTCTTAGTCCAGTGATATCTTTATTAAACAACACTGAAAACATGGTTTATTAGAACCAAGAATGCAGAATGTGCCTGCATGAGGGGAAAAAAAAAAGTGTCCTAAAGCCAGGGATTTCTAGAACTTTGCAATGCCATGAAGATACATTTGAGCTAGTTGCAAGAGAGTTCTCTCAGGAACTAAAAGCAGAAAACTGTGTCAGCTCTGCAAAGTCACATAAGCACGTGAGCTTGTCTTGGGCAAAACCCAGTGTTGTCATAAAGTGCTGTGTGTCACTGGGAGCACTCACTGGTGATGTTGTTGCAAAGTCCAAAATAATGTTTAGCATATCTGTTTAGGAAAATATTTTTTTTTATATATGTAACATGTAGAAAGAGGACAATGATTTTACTTCTGCACACAGAAATTGTAAGAGCTGATTTATTTTCACATTTCAAGGACCCTGTGTTTCACTTCATGGAAGACATGGCTGAAAGACAGCTTGAGTCCTTGCAGTAGCTGCATACATATAAAAAAAATATCTGAGAGCTTTTTAACCTTTCAAAGAAAGGCAAAACGAGCCTTGATAATTGTAAATTGAAGTTAGACAGATTAACCTTCCAACATGAAAACAGATCCTCTCTCTGTGAGAGTAGTTACATATTGGAACATGTAGATTTGGTAGCTGAAGATAATGAGAAGATGCCCCTGAAAAGATACCTGGCAAAGGAGGCCAGGTAGGGTCCTAAGTAAAGCAGGGCAGTCACAGTGAAGTCATACTTAGATTCTCCCTTGCGTCCAAAATGACAGCACTTATTTTGATTGTTATCAGAGTGACCTATTTCTCACAATTTCTAAAAAGGATGTTTCCATGCCAGTACTCCACCCAGGCTAATGTTTAATCCAGACATCAAGGTGCCTTTACCTAGTCTCAAAAAGGCACACAAAAGCTCTGGTCCAGCTGAAGTCTGAGACCAACAGAAGCATTGGCTAAGGGCTGCCATGGTCTGATCCTATTGCCCTTGCTAAGGGAGTGAAACTAGTTCAAAACAGTATTTTACTCTTTTATGAAAAAAGGATTACTCTTTCAGCTCCTGTGGGGGAAAGAACAAAAAAGAAGAATTTTGTTTGAAGTATAGTTCAAATAAATATTATAGATCTTACAGCAATGAATGTAGTTATCTAGAAATTTCAGAAGACAATGTTATTTAAACAATGAACTGGAGCAGGAAATAAATAACCTGCTGACAAAGAGTCCTAAGTTTCTCAGGAAAAATGTTAACTTTTTCACTAATTAACTAGTTTATTTGTAAACTGTGGGGAAATATGTTATGTACTAAAAGAGTAAGTGCTGTAATTCATGTGTGAATGTGCTGTTATTCACACATAATAAAGTAGTTACATTCTTGCTTCCAGTTCAAAAATGATTTTAAGCCCTAAAAGTGTTACCTCTGGCCACAATTCCACAATGATATTTTATAAATATTTAAACTTTTTAGTTCATTTTTTTCACAATTATCAATTACTTTAGTACCCAGGGAGAAGTGATATACCATAGAAACAAAGGAGTTCATTATTTAGTATCAGCCTTGCTACTACCTCTTCCAAATGCACAGTTGTGTTAGCCCTACGTGTAACAATACGTGGCATATATTTAAATCCTCATCCTAAATAAGCCGTAGTACAATTCAAGGGTTAAACTGTTCTTGTTCATTATATGACATGAGTTAAGCTCCAGCTGCCTTCATGGAAAGACAAAATCAGATTCCAGAGAAGTCAACATGAGATCTGTCACAGATAAGATAAAAACATGTGATTTTAGGAGAGTGAAGGCTGAGGACACTGACCAACCTGCAACAGTTGAAGAAGTTTGTGCAAAATGTGAAGTGTGTTGTACAACATCAGGCCAGGCAAGACAGATAAGCCTTTATTACAAACAATTTTTTGAAGATAAATTTATTCTTTTTTAAAACAAAATCACGGTGTTTCAGCCATCCACTGTGGTAACCATGGCAATGCCATCAGCATTGTCAGGAAGAAAACAGACCGGTGGCCAAGAGTAGTGTTTCCAGATGCATGTAGTTATTGGTTTCCAGACTGTAGCCATCAACCTTTGTTAGCATCTCTCCCTTTGGCAGTGGACCTGAGCCAAGAGTTCCTTTCACACAGGCAATCAAGAAGAGTCAAAAAGTAGCAGTGACCACCATTTATTTAGACAAACACTGTCTAGATTAAAACCAACCACCTTAAAGTGAAAGACTTCCTCATCCCAGAAAAGAAAAAGAAAAAGGAAAAAGGAAAAAAGAGAAAAGAAAAAGAAAAAAAAAAATAGAAAAAAAGGAAAAGGGCCCAAAAAACAGGCCATGGCACTTTTTGAGTGGTATTAAACCCGGTCACCTCTTCACAGACGGAACGCAAGACATATGAAGACGGTAAGCAGGCTTATGTCCTTTCCAGAGAACACAGACCAACAAACATGGCCTTCCCCTCTATCTTTGCATTGCTTGAACTCTCAGAATGGGCTCAAGTAACATCACTGTTAAAATCTGCAAACAAGCAGATCCATTTAATGTATTATTTATCTTCCACTTTCTGAAACAGGTGACAAGATTTGTTCCAGCTTGCCCACATCTATGGAATTCTTTAGTCCATATTGATCTGCATATTTTCGAGATCTGTGCTGTATCTCAGGCTTTTTTAACAATACTGAAGGAAATAAAAACAAATTCCTTTTAAGAATTATAGCATAGCTAAGGGCCAGATCCTGCATTCTTTTGTCAGTGAAAACTTCCATTGAAGACAATGTCGGTTCTTTATGAGAAAAGTAAGACTGTGCTCAAGAAAGTTAATGTAAAATATTTGCATGGAATTTTTCCCTTAACTACATTGTACAGCTCTGGTGAAGTTAATGAGACGTCCCAGAATCACTGTAGAAAGACACATAACTTAATAGCGGAAGAAGTTATAAAACCTTGTATAATTTAATTTTGATAATGCCTCAGAACATTATCTCTGGAGTGAAAGCACCTTCATGCTTCTATTGGTATATTAAAGCCGTCTCTTTGTCTCAGAGATTAATCTAAAAAAATGTGCAGTCTAAAAATTCCTCTGATATGGTATACTGAGAAAAGAGAGTAGCATTCATCTCACTTAAAATAAATCGTCTAAAGGCAGGACAGATAGTTTAAGCCAGTCAGTTAGGCTCCATCTGTGGTCAGAGAGTGCAATACTTCTATGGCACAACTCGTCTGACCTATTTGAGTGTGAAATGAGTCACGATGCCATCTCTCTGACTGGCCAGAGAGGGAAAACGGACAAGTAGACAGTCCAGTGCCTGTATGTTGTTGACCTCATGTTGGCTCAGCCAGTTCTATATGCAATCAAACTGCCTAAGAATGAAGGTTTTTGTTTCTGGATTTTTTTTTTTTTTCATAGTTTCTTAGGTCAAAAGGCACTGTAGCAGTCTTACAGTTTGATCTTCTGCACAACAAAGACCAGCTAATTCAGATTTGAACTGGGTCGT